GTTTTTCTCCTAAAACTCTACTGGCGTAGATGTAAATCTGATACGGTTCATTGTTGGACTATAGTCTTCATTACTAACAATGCTCATCACAAACTAACTTTGGTTGACCGCTGCTCCCTTTGGATACCATCCATATACCAGCCACCACCCATCATGCTTATATCTTGACAAATTCGATTGTATGTGACCTGACTTAACATCATACGCCATCTGCGTAAACTGCAGTCGATTCTCATTATAATGATCATAATAGTCTATAAAAATGTAATAAAATCTCCCGTTACATTAAGGAATTCATGACGAATTCATTTAAATTCCAATTCCTTATTTGGCTAATTGATAATTATTTTTGTCTTATGAATGTTTCGTTAAAAGTTAGGAGCAATAATTTATTAATAAAATTAATAGTATCTTTAAATAATATTGATTGATACTTAATGGAAATAAGTGTTATTTACCTAATTTTGACAGATAAACATAATTTTGATGTTTCAATTATTAATTACTTATTAGTTACTATTACCATTGCTATCTAAAGTTGCAAAAAAAATAAAACGCTAAAATAACATTCTTTTAATATATATAACATAATTCAATGAAATAAATACATTCAATTTAATTTCATTCTAAAAGCCCAGCCCTACTGGTCTACATACAGACTTTTTACAATATGGAGAAAACCACGAATTACAGCTTATAAAACATTATTCTTAGTTATAAAATATAAAATTTCTCTATGGATATAAAACTATTTAAATTCAGCCATTCATTCATTTTTGACAAATATATAGAACCTGAACTTCATTTGCGGAAACCCTAAAAGAATTTCCTTTTAGGGGCGAGAGGAAACGTCTTTGCCCCGGAGCGGGGAGATAAAAGAAATTTATTGTCGAGATTAAACGGGACCACCCGATTGTTTGGTGCTGTGTCAATCTGGACCAAAGAAAACGTTTGGGGTGCCGCGGACGTGCAAGCTCGCTCAATGCCACAAAATTGAGGCGTCTTCGACAGGTTTTCTATCAGCAATAGAAATAAATTTTGTATTTATATAAATCCTCTACACTAACACAAAATACCCAACATCATTATGCATACGTCCTTTGCACTAAACCCCTATTACACACACCTAGTACTACTTACCATTCAAAACAACACTCATACTTTCTCATATACATTCACTAATCCATAAATGCATGCACACACATACACAGGCACACATCCATACATACACACACATATACACACACACACACAAAAGCTAATATAATAAATTAAGTTTACTAATAATTTTATATGTCAATTAAAGGTGGGAAAGGACTGACTCCTGATATATAGCTGACGCTAGTTTGGGAGTCAGGACTTCTTAACATATGACATACAGCATATGGTGGGCAGCTCTATTCTCTCATATTGTAAACATGTACAACATTTATGTAAAAAGAATACGAGCTGAATTTCTTCTCATCTCGAAATAATTCCGAACTGACGCTAGATTTGACATATCATAAGAGTCTGTAATAGACCTACATGAATAAAGATATTTTGAATTTAAAATCGAATTTAATTCAGACTGTACACTGATGTGGGTTTAGATAAATTAATATTACTATATTATTTTTTGTCTTAATACGTTAAGGTAATACACTACGCATACTCTTAAATATATACGTCAACACTACTAACAAGTTTTATTTACAGTACATGTTACAAGAGAGCTTTGATTCCTATATCACAGGTATTAGATGTAACAGGATTACTCGATTTTCAGCCATTGGTTACCTAGTATAAACTTTGAATTACTGTTTATTTATATGAATATGACAACGATTCTATCTACCCCAAGTAGAATTATAGTCAATCACAGATAAGATAGGCATCATTTTATATTATTGAGGTAGACATTATACGAAGTCATCTGCCTTGGGCACAACTGTTTCAGATTGCTTTAAAATGTGTACTGATTAAAGGAATAGTACAAGACAGTTACATTGATGAAACCATGATAGCGAAAGTTTGTGAGTATGGATGGGTGGAGTTTGTTATTGTTTCACGTAAAAACTACTGAATCAATTTTAATGAAACTTTACAGTCATATAGGTTATACGTTATAATAACACATAGGCTATAATTTAAAAAGATATTATTTAAATTGGGCGAAATATAGTGTGATAGAGATGAAGTTGCACGGGTCAGCTAGTTGTATATAACTTTCATTGCATATATGTAGATTGCATTTGAAATACTCGGTTATTGCATAAATAAACAAATGTTTTATGATATTTTACAATTTTGAGGAGCAGTGTAGCAGTCGACCGCAGAGCACTTGACATTTTTGTCGAGTCAGCATCTTACGTGAGACGAATACCGATCTGCGAAACACGTACAAACTACTGCATCTGTTCGAATTGAATTTCCAATAAATCGTATTTAATACATCTTATTCTTTTTATAATTGGATTTCTCGTATTTTTTTATGACACGTAGAAATCCGTGGCAAAGGAATGAAGGACCGAGATTGAAATGTTGCAATGATAAAAACAATATATAATATTACTGTCGGAATTATCTGTAGTTTTGAGATGATTTTTATAATTTTGCAATAACTACATATAGGTAATAATTGTCCTACATGAATAAACGTTTCTTACATTAAAAAGAAAGAAAATAAATTACACCTACTATATAATTGTTGCAAAAATGTATAATATTATTATACTAATGTACTGCTATGTATGTATTATACATAAAAGGGAGAAAATCTTTTTCTTTCTGGTAAGACAAACAAGCTGACAAAACCCGGCGGTAAATGGTATTTTTTTTTTTTTATTGGGTTGTTTGGGCTATTGTCAGATGTGTAGCACCTGTAGCACTGCGACCTACAAAGATCTATTGTGCTCGCCCTTTTCAGAGTTCGCTACCTAGACCCGTCAGGGACAAGAATTGAAGGATATTCTTAGGAGCGATCGTTTTTATCTCCTCGGGAAAGAGTGTAAACTTTACAAAGGAGATATTTCGTTTATGCATGAGTGGGCTACAACCACATAGGATGTGAAGCGGCGTTTCCTCTTCAGTTTGGCAGAATCTGCAGATACTAGTCGTGCATAGGCCTAGCTTAGCCATATGCTTGTTCAATTTGCAGTGTCCTGTGAGGGCCCTAGTCATCATGCATATGTTGTTTTTACTCAATAGCAGTAATCGATTGGAGTATTTGGTCGAGAAGCCCGATATAAGGTCTTTTGAATGTATTAATCCTGGCATTTCTTGCCAGTGATTCAGTGCTTCTCGTTTGGTTATTAATTTGAGATGTCCCAGTTTTAGGCAACGAGGCACACCACAGAAGGGTTCGGGGCCCAGTTGGACGGTTTTTGCCCCTAACTTTGCCAGATGGTCGGCATTCTCATTGCCTTCAATATTTGAATGCCCGGGGACCCATCTCAGAATAATATTATTTCTGCTTCCTACTTCATTTAGTAGCAGGATATAGTTTCTAATAAGTTTAGAACGGATTTCGTACGAGTTAAGTGCTAGTAGAGCAGCTTGACTGTCCGAATAAATGTATATGTTCTGATTGATGTAGTTGAGGCTTAGGATTACTTCCAGACATCTAATTAAGGCGTAAGTCTCTGCCTGAAAGATTGAGGCGTATTTTCCTAAGCCTATATAGTTGCAGATTTTGGGTTTTACACCACATATTCCACATCCTACATCATCTCCTATTTTGGACCCGTCTGTAAACCAGACTAGGTCATGCTCTGAGTGAGACGGTGTATGGTTATTTTGCCATTCGTCTCTTCCAGATATTTCGATTTTGTAATATTGTACAAAGTTACACTCTGGTGCCATGTTGTCTTCAGGCATTCCCAGAATAGGATCACTCATAATCGAGTCTTGTATAGTTTTTATGGCCAGGGAATGCCAAGATATCCTCCTTTGGGAACTTATTCTGAGCATATTGGCTTTCGCCTTTTCCTGTATGAATAAAGGAAGGGGCGTCAAGTCCAATAATGCGTCTAGAGCTGCTCCCGGCGTGGTGCTCATGGCTCCTGTAATAATCAGACAAGCAATTCTCTGTAGGCTGTTTAGCTTGGTGGCGGCTGTGGATTGGAGGGTTTTCCTCCACCAGATAGCGCAGGCATAGGTGGTAAGCGGTCTCACCACTGCTGTGTAAAGCCATAGGGCAATTTTGGGGTTGATTCCCCATCTGGGCCCCGCTACCCGTCGGCTTATACCTAGGGATGTTTTCGCCTTTTGAGTTATGTTGTCTATGTGTGTGTTCCATGTCAGTTTTTGGTCGAAGGTTACGCCCAGGTACTTGACTTCTTTGGAGCACTCTAATATTCTTCCATTTACTTTAGGCATGACAAGTTTGTCAAGTTTCTTCCTTTTTGTAAACGGAACAATTACTGTTTTATCAGGATTTACTGATAATTCATTTTCCTTACACCATTTAACTATGATGTTTAGTGCTCTTTGGATGCGGTCTGATATTGTTGTTGCACAGAACCCTCTAACCATGACTACTAAATCGTCTGCGTAGCCTTGTACCTCAAATTGGTTTTTGGTCATAACATCTAAGAGCTGGTCTACCGTTAGTAGCCACAGCAGTGGCGATAAAACGCCTCCTTGAGGGCATCCTTTGGTAGGTCGGATTTCTAACGTACTGTTGTGAAGAGTAGTTTTAATGGTTCGATTAGAGAGCATTGCTTTGATCCATTGAGTGGTGGTTTCATCCACTTTCTTGCGGATGAGTCCCTGTGAGATGGTCTCTATGGGCGTGTTATCAAAAGCACCCTCAATATCGAGAAATGCACATAGAGCTATTTGTTTGTCCTCAAAGGCCTTCTCGACCTTGTCGGTGAGTTCGAGCAAGGCGGTCTCTGTGGAATGTCCCTTGCGGTAGGCATGTTGATTCCTGTGCAGGGGAGCATTTTCGAGGATTGTAGCTCTAATGTGTTGGTCCAGAACCTTTTCCATGGTTTTTATTATGAAAGAGGTTAGGCTTATAGGTCTGTGAGACTAGGCTGCGAGTAGTCTCTTCGACCGGTTTTCGGTACGTAGGTAACTTTGACCTTCGTTAATGGTTCTGGTATAAAACCCCAGGCAAAGCTGGCTCTAAATATTCTTACCAGATAGGGAGATAGGATGTCAAGCCCTTGTTGTAACAGGGCCGGGAAAATTCCATCTTCTCCCGATGATTTATATGGCTTGAAAGATTTTATAGCCCATATAATTTGTTTTGGTCGAAAAATCCTCGCAGCTCTGTTCCACGCCTCATGGTTGGGCTTTTGTAGATGTGAGCTTGGAGGATTCTCCTTATCTCTTGAGATATGAACCGAACCAGGGAAGTGGGTTGTAGATAGCAGCTGTAGAGTTTCTTCCTCTGATGTCGTATAGGTACCATTGGGCCTTTTCATAAGTCCAATTTGGTTATTTGGCGCCTTGGCAAGCATTTTGTGTAATCTGGATCCTTGGGGAGTCTGAGTTATCTCCTCGCAGAAAGCACGCCATGATGCTCTTTTGGCTTTCCTAATTTCGCAGTAGTATTCCGTTTGGGCTTTACTATATTGGGCCCATTCGAAAGGTCCCTTTTTAGCCCTGTTGGATAATTTGCGAGTTTTCTTCCTCAGCTTTTCTAGACTCTTATTCCACCAGGGTGTTTTACATTTGGCGGTTTTGGTTTTGATGGGACAGTTGTTCTGGTAGGCACTTATTATGTCACTTAGAAGTATGTCCACAGCGAGTTCTAGTTCTAGAGGAGATTTGATACTCTTCGGAAGGTCCGCAATTAGGCTTGTAAGACTGTCTCTGTATTTAGGCCAATCTGTAGCCTTTGGGTTTCTGTAGAGTATGGGGTTTGAGTCTGTTGCAGCCTCAATTGTGAATCTGATGTGCTTGTGATCAGACATGGAGTTCTCATTGCTGACATGCCAATGAGTGATATATTCGGCCAGTTTGTCGGTCGCGAGTGTTATATCTAGTACCTCTTGTCTTGTGGCAGTGACGAACGTCGGTGTGCACCCTGTATTTAGGATTTGAAGACAGTTGGTTAGTATAAAATCATCAAGTGACTTACCTCTGGTGTTGATGTCAGAGCTTCCCCAGTTTAAATGTAACCGTCGCCTATATACATGAAAAGCACTACGGACATCAAGTCATGTGACGCCTGTAATATCCGTCATACGTTTCCATAAGGCACATTGATTTTAGAATAAAAAGTATAATCCACCACATTTAAAATTAGAGTTCCTGTTGTTAAGTAACTGTTATATTATGTGCAACTGTAATAAAATCCAGATTTTAGAATTATATTTCTGCTATATATTCACTGAATATCTCCATCAATTACATAAGCGTAAGTGACCTTATTTACCACTAATCGTTGCGCACTTTAAAAGAATAGGATGGAATAGGATGGAATAGGATGGAATAAGATGTAATATGAATATGTAATATGAAATAATGAATAGATCGGAATAGAACGGAATAGAACAGAATAGAACGGAATAGAATAGAATGGAATAGAATGGAATAGCATGAAATAGAATGAAATAGAATGGAATGGGATGGAATAGAATAGAATAGAATAAATGCTACACTATACGCTAATGCGTAAGTTGTTATATTATCTTATTTACCACTAGTCGCTAGAAAGCTGCTGAAATAATAAATATGCGTGCAAGTCTTTTAGATATTATTGTTATTTTATAAAACAAAATACAACTTATCGTTATTACATAGTATAAAATAAACTTGCTGTCGCTTTCTGTCCGTCCCTGTGTATGCCCAAATCTTTAACATTGCTTTTGAGGCAAAAAAAAGTACAGACGGACTTGTATATCACTTACTGTGTACGAACAGAAAAATATTGTCATTCAGAATGCTTGCTCCATCGAATTATAGGTCACGTTTTCGGAATTCACCTTGAGAACTAAACATGCATTTAAATAAAATTTAGGGAGTACCTGCATGCAGTCGCTCTTGTAATATTTTAGCTGACATCTGTATTTTACAGTTTTCCACAATTTTTATTTATTTTTTCTAGCTCTCTATAATTTTTTTTCGATATATTACAATAATCAAGCACAAAAATTGTCGTCACCTAGTGTCTTACTAGCCTGAATATCGCGCAGGAGGTCGTAAATTCAATCAAATCTGGTTGACACAGATTTATGTGTATGTCTGTCAATTTATATTTCTGACTGGCTCTCTGCTAAAGAAAACACTAATATTAATCCTAGAAACGGTGGAAAGCTCGTCATTCGAATTTAAATATGCCGAGCAAAATATGGGCATTTCAAGAGTTACTTTGACTACAACATCAACAGTTGACAATGCCTTGTTACCTTATCTGGTATAACTGTATTGACTGTATAGTTGTTACATTTTGTAATTGCTTAATAATAAATCCTTTGTTGCTAGAAAAATTAATTAATTTAAATTAAATCCTGCTATATTTCCTATTCCAACGCCACCTTGTGATTATAATATTACAATACGATAAGTAAGTGAATTTATTACGACTTAGTCAATAAACAAATCATTTTATAAATATATTTTTTATGTAATTTGTCTATAAAATATTACACTTATTTTTATATATAACAATTTAAATTTAAAAGTTATAGTTTGTAATATAATTCATTTAATGTTCTTTAAAAAAGTGCCGTCAACACTAACATGACAGCGTACAAATTTGAACAAAAAAAATACTGGCAACACGAAAATAAAATGAGCTCGATCCATTTTTTAAAATTGACCTACTTTAGAGTAAATTGTGTGAAACAAGAATAAGGCTTTTAACGTTTGATCTCGGCGTTGTCTACAATGCTCTTTTCATCCTATAAAAGCTTCATTTGTCTTCCGAGGAAAGCGTACGTGTAATCTTTTTGTGTTTTTTGTCGAATTTTTGCCGTAAACTGTATAGTGAAACTCTTTTATACTTACTTGTCTCTGGGTGTGGGAAATATTTTAAAGTTAGTATTACAATTTAAATGGACATTATCCACCTATGCACATTGACACTTATCTACATATACTTAATAGAAATGTATATATTTAGAATATAGATCATTACATTACTTATCGTCCATTTTATTTTATATCTATTTGTTAAGATGTTTATTTTAAACTACCCGCCCCGGCTTAGAACGTGTGTCTGTATTATACATATACGCCTCTTGAATCTCTCTATCTATTCCTAAAAATTTAATTAAAATCCTTTGCGTAGTTTAATAGATCTAAGAGAACAGACAGTGGAAGCGACTTTATTTTATACTATGTAAAAAATTAAAACTACCTTCCTGTAAGTATCTTAAGTCTTAGTTTTTTAAACTGTAAGTCCATAGACTTTTTAAGTTAAAATATAAAATATATCTAAGGAAAGCATGAGATCTTTAAATGGTATATTTTGTTATATTTAACTGTAACTTTGGTGTTGAGTTAAAGTTATTGATCAATCACACTGCAAATTCTTATCAAATTAGAATTTATTGAATACATTAAATGTGAAGAGATGTATGTCGTAACATAGTGAATGATTACCATGATTTGAACCCGAAAGTCGTGAGTTCATTCATTATATAGATTGTGACATTTGTAGTACCTCGTATGTGTTGTTATTCCAGAGGATTAAGACATCATTCCACTTTTTTATGGACGATAATGGAATGGTAATATGTAATCGGTGGTCCACTTGGCACAGGATAGAGATACCTGGAGAGATGTGGTTGGAGAAAGCATTCCTGGTGATGAGAACCCTCAACCTTGAGAAATCGACAAAGAAGAAGAAGAATGGTGCTTTCACTTGTGCTAACGACTTAAGCTGGCGGTGCACCAATGGACGGTGTAATGTAATGTGGACTCTATTTTCCGCATTTAGCATCTCATTTGGGCCGTTGTGCGTGTAGAGCCGAGACTACTAACGTAGTCAGCCAAGCTCCTCCCAGAAGCGCAGAAGACTTCTGTTGTCTTCACAGGCTTCGCGTGCAACCTCACCGTTCCGAGGATTTGTATTCATTGTGTGGCCACTGCTGCGCACTCCAGGATTACGTGATTGGTTGTTTCTTCGGCTTCAAAGCAGCCCCGACAAAGGGGACTGTAGCAGCGATTGTGTACAAATGTTTAAGGGACAGTGGCCCGTCATTGTCCCTATCATTATTTTAAGACTTTGCCTATTTCATTGGACACTATATTCAATGTGGACCAGTGTACACTGATAAAATGGAAATGAGGTCAAGTCAGTTAGCCCATCTAGAGAAATTTACCAAGAATTTATCACGATGGTTTCCAGTGGAAATTGCATAGAGGTCAACCTGACATGGTGCATTACCAGCAATGGAGTCATAAGCTTATACTACTAACAATCCTCTTTCCTCGATGTCATATCACTATACTCTGTAATTTTACTACCTAATCTCACCCATAAATCTAAAGACATTTTAGAAAAGCAACTCCTTGGCGGCTGAAATAGGTAATACAGACTCACCAATGCAGAGGACTTTACAAACTCTTTCTATGGTGAATAGTGCATAGACACGTTTTGTTGTACATGCAAAACTAAATTTACATACAATAATATCTCCCCCAGACCTAAGCATCTGTCAACTAAGGAGCACATTATTCTAATCTTACGAGGTATTAGCATATTCATCATCTATCATGCAGATGTTTAACATAACTCCGCTGATGGCTACATATACATAGCTTTTATATTCATAACGATATATCTTCAAGATCTCAGGTGGGGTCGACAGAGTTAACAACTGTCGACCTCGTGGTAAACGTGGTGAATACAACATAGCTATTTTGACTGTCTAGTGCAAACTAGTTGAAATATTGCGAAAGGTAAAACCTTATTTACCATAAAATTGTTCGTGCTAAGACCAGGGTAACAATATAAGCAACGCAATATGCCTACGTGTAATTGGGTATACTTGAATTCAATATGTCAGGGAGTAATTCACAGTCATCCCTCACCGTAATAATTTGGTTTCTTATCACAGGAAAGTCAGGCAGAATGAGTGCAGAATCAAAAATTATGAACATTGATAACTGATTATTTGATTATTTTAAAAAAGGTTACTTCTATTTCTTCACTATTTGGTATTTGGTTACTTATTACAGGAAAAAGTTAGTATACGATATATGTGACTGACATATATCGTATACTAACTTTTTCCTGTGTCTCCAAGCGATATTTATCTGAATTTACAGTTTCGTTGGGTTTCGTTTTCGTGGGACTATTCCTAAGGAGTTAATTTACAAAATACATAAAATACATATGTATTTAAATTGTTATTAGCATTTAGTATTTGTTTATAGCAGTGTTCCTAGAAATATTGATAAAATCAACTTCTCTTCTATTTATATTATGTACACATAATATAAATAGACTTGTAAACAATGATGAAAAAAGTTGCAAAAACATTGTTATACTCATTTCATTACGAAATTCAATTACAAGTAAACCAAACTTTGAGTATAAGCAAACGAAAGTGTACAAGTGTGCTATGAAGCGATTTAATATTTAAAGCACATACATTATTAAGAAAATTACGTCGACAAACTCAAAGTTTTAACTTCAAATGTACGTTAAGTGATTAAGGGATTGTAACAAGACTTATAATGGGTAACATGGGCGCTAACTTGTTCCTGTCAGTTTGGAAACGAAGTGATAAGTATCATGCCGACATTGTAAGGCTTAGGGACAAGTATATAATAATAATTAACAGAGTTTAATAGCTTTTCCTATTGACACTGACACCTATATAGTTCCAATGGTCGCGAGTTAGATTCCTCGCATGGTAGAAACATTTGTATTCATGAGTATGATTGTTTGTATTAGTCTGGATGTTATTGTACATAAGTATATATTTACAAAAAAATGAATTTAAGTATTTATATAATT